GTTCTGTAAGTTTATCAATCTTGATCTTCGGCCAACAGCCCGTCTCCGAGCTGACAACCAGTTCACGGAAGGACATTGGCCAATAGCTGCAGAAACTGAAATGATCCTTTCGTACTCATTCAGCCCTGCTGCACCAAGTCTAGACAGGTTAGGGCCTTATCATGACAAGTAACAGGACATTTGATCCTCATGGAGACCAAGTCCATAAAGATATGGGTTCAATGGCCGATCTTGGATCACCAGGGACATGGCTCGGTCGCTCGGTAAGCTTCCCGTCAAGTCGTCCACGCACATTAAGCTCCTACTGTTTGTGCACAACAGGATCACCAGCCGTCCTTACCTTCCCGTACATACGCGAAATTGGATCAACCCAAGATAAGAATCAGAACTCGACAAAAGCGGGTAGCCTGTTAGATCCATGGGTAGTGGACGGATGACAGAGTGGTAGTTGAGTGATATAAGAGGACTTCCCCAACCATTTCATATTGTTTGCTTCTACACTAACCGTTCATCATTCGCAGGGGGAACGAACAGTGGGCGCAGTCATCGAACAAAATTCTCACTGAAATTACTATGGGTTCCGTTCCTTATAAGAAATCCACACCGCTCAACCACCTGGCTGATGCTGCTAGTCCCCCCCAGCTAAACGTACCGCTCCGTTTCTCTTTCCCTTCCTTGTTCTAGCACGTTCTAGTGTGGAGGATCACAGCTCCATAAATCGGTTACACACATGGGTCAAGAGAAATCATTGCTTTTGCTGGTATGTACGTCCGATCTCTGTTCTTAGTGTCTTTTGCTTTCATCGCGAATGAGCTTCAGCTTTTCTCGTGCTCTTTTCCGTTTCATTAGCCGCCAATTTCTACATCTCGTTGGACAATTCCGCGAGAATTAGTTCATTCACATGTCATATTTACTAGCCCTCTGTTTTCTAGCGTGAGCCTTTCAACCACCACTACCATTAGTTCCACCCCCAAGGTATCAACGAAACGGTGATGCATTGAGACCCATCTTGTTAGACTATTGCATGGTGGATGCAACGTGAATACAAAGGGGCACTCCTTCATTCATGTTAGTAGGGCAGAGAAAATCCTCTCATGGCATACTCTTCACATCCCCTCCGTCCTGGTCTCTTATTCTGCATCTTTCCACTTGACATGCCATACCTATCCAACTCTTCACTACCTACAGCCAATCAGGAAAATCAGACCCAAGATAGGCAGCCGACTACCAACCAGCCAACCAGCTCCCAACGGCCAAGCTCGTTTCAGCCGCTGACTGGTCTCACGGCTTACTCTGCTGATACGCACAAGCGGGCGGTGTGTGTAGTATACATTAACTTTGATTCAAGCCTGTCCAAGTGAAAACAAAAACGCCATACCCAGAACGATCTTCGGATGAAGGGAAACCTGGGGACAGGAGCGAAAAGAAACAATATGCTTCAGAACCCATGCCAATGCCAAGATGGTAGGCACAAAAAATACAAAGAACAAGAATTCCCATTTGCCGACAAATGCAACCAGTCAGAAAGTATGAAGGCTAAACCGAGCAGGGGAAAATCAAAATGAACACAAATCCTGTCGACAGTGGCATCCCAACTATTGAAAAAGGCCAGACGAAAAAGAAAAATGAAGAAAAAAGCCAAGGGAAAGAAGATGCCATTTTGCTCTCCCCTCTGACCTCCCCTCCTCCACCTTCTTCCTCCTCGTGCCCCCGGCGTTCAAGGCTCGAAAAATACAAAGACTAAGAGAGACTAGGTAGTCCTAGGTTTGTCCCTTACCTTCATCAACCCCCTTGCCTTCCTTCCTGATTCGGCCCGGCAGTGAAGAGGATATCAGAAGAGACGAAGTCGATACATTCAGGCTAGGTTATACAAAACCAATAAAATGACTCCGTTCAATATCGGTAAAAGGCCAGTTGGGTATCCATACCATACCCCCCAGTCGAAGACTACTACCCAACGCCCCAATGGTCATGCATTCCCAAGCAAGCAAGTAGGCACTCTGAAGGTTCGCACGCCCACCTACCCGCTTGCTTTCGAAAGAAATAGACCCAAAGCCGAGAACCCAACCAGGTTCCGAGCAGGTACAGTAGTAGTATACATCCAGGTATGTAGCGGGGTGCAGTATCCGGCCGGTAACGGTAACAAGAGCCTTGCCCATCCCCCATCTTACCCATCTCCCAAGACTAGACCAGACAAGACAAAAAAAAACAAAAAAAAACAGCGAGCACGACAGCGAGCAAACCACCGAGGGTTTCTAGAAAGCTGTTATACAATCCCGGATTTAATGACCAATGGGAACAAAAAACGGGTTCCGGTTGACAAGTTTGAAGAAGGAAAAAAAAAAAAAAAAAAAAAAAAAAGCTTGATCAGGAAGGAGGACTGTCCGGACAACAAACTGTTCAGGAACGGCACCAGCACCAGCACCAGCAGCACCCAGCAGCACCCTACCTTGCACCCGAACCATGGCTGCAAGAAAAATGTTTTTCAAAAAAAGAAAGAAAGAAAGAAAGAAAGAAAGAAAGAAATAGCGAAACATCGACCGTTATCCGACGACCGACCCTCACCCAACGTGTTGGGATTTCATTAAAGGGACTAACGTCCACTCACGGGAGCAGGGAGTACACCAGGGACGGAGTAGTAGTGAGTCGGTAGTTGCTTTTCTCGCCAAGGCCACCAAGGCCAACCAAGCCAATATTGATGTTTGTGATTTTGGTTTCTCCCCCCAGCCCGTTGGGCATCAATGGCGATATTAAAGAAATAAAGATTATTATGTAGTGTATGGAACATGCATGGATATGGGAAAGGGGAGCGAGCTAGATCCGGACCCAGAAGCGGAGGAGAATGGAGGATGAGGACCACAACAAAAAATGAGACAGACTCACAAGCCAAGGAGTTAGTACTGGCTGGATAGGTGGATGGATGGATGGATGGATGGTCATGATCTCGGCAGCGACACACAGAGAAAAAGAAAAGGAGGTAGAATAGGATGGAGGTGGGGGCCATGGGATCACCAAACACTGGAAGGGGAAGGATGAAGAAAGGAAAGGAAAGGTAAGGTTTCACTTCACGGACTCGAGACCCGGCGAACTAACACAAAGATTTTCGAAAAAGGATTTCCGATAGTTGCCCGATGTTTCTCCTCCTCCCTTGTCGTCGGGACTAGGTAGGTTCTGACTGACGACTCTCTCTGGATTCTTCGAAAAAGAGATGGTCTCCCTCTTCCTTTTCCTTTCCTTCTTTTCATCGTCCCTCATGGCTTCCTCTCCATCTTTCCCGATTGCCCGTTATTTTTGTGCTGACACGATACACTATGGCCGACCAGTCAACAATTAACAGATAACAGATAACAGGAGCTCCGTCGAGTCGAGGCGGTGGACGCAGAAATACACACACACACACACACCTGGAAACCGAATGCCTGCCTGCCAGGGTAGTGAGAAAGTTTTTCGATACCGGACAACCGACCGACCGACTGATTCATCAAGACCTGACCATCCGACGACAAGCTCACCCAGCCAGCCCAATCCATTGACCAACCACGACCACGCGATAAAAGGATGTGGGAAGAAAAGGGAGGAAGACGCAGCCAAGCACCAAGTGGGAAAGGCGAGGAGGAAAACGTTCTCATGCCAATGTGCCAATCAGGCTGGTGCCACCAGTCCGGAATACCCATTTCGTTCTGCCCATATCTCCCCCCGGTCTTGCCGCCGTCTCTCTCTCTCTCTCTTCCGGCGAGTGTATCCCCTATCCCGTATGCTGCTGCTGCTGTTGCTGTGTGTAGCCTGCCCCCGCCCCCTTTTGTTGCGGACCACCCACTTCAGTCAACCCCCCCCCCCCCAAAGCCAAAAACCAGTCACGCGACCCTTCTCAAGTTTCGGGTTCCGCATCCTTCAGTTGATGAAGCCGGCCCCAGCGGAACAGACAAACTCCGATGATTCGATAGTGGATGGGTTATTCGTGGGGGGTGGTGCTGTGACATAGCGGACAGCAGACGACGGGGCAGTGGGCTCACTGGAAGCCAAACTGACCCCTAAGCATATTTCGTGCATCGATGGGCCTGGTTGACTTCTCCTCTCTCTTGTCATGTGTTGTTGTTGCGTTTTGCTGTGCTTTGCTGTCCTGCTGCGTATTTCTCTTGCAGTTCATTCCGTATTTCGGTTTCGTCCTTTCAAGTCCAGTCCAGTTGAGTCTGATTATTTCACTCGTCTAGATCTCCTGATCTCCTGATCTTCCAACACTTTCTCCTTTCTTCGTGTTTAACAATCAATACTCTAAACAAACAACTCAGTCAGTCAGTCGGTCCTGACTGACTGATACAGAAACGGGGGTGATGTTACCCACCCTCGAGCCACCAACAAACAATAAAATGATCAGCAAAAGATCGACTGCAAGTGTGGACCCCTCTAATCCACGTAACTATACAATAGTTTTGTACAAGTGGGTATGATTATGATGTGTGTGGTTGTTGTGGGCATGTATGTGTGGCCGTTAGGGGAAATACATATGTTTGGTGGATATGGATGCTAGTTAGTCGTGGTGTACTGGTGTGGTCCGTTTTGGCTAGCACCGTCCTGCACAGCTTCATTATGCATTGCATGATCGTGGGTAGTCCTACGAACGGGGGGGCGCACTATCGCCGAACGAATGAGCCTCCAGCGCCGCCGCTTGAGCCGTTTCGTCGGTTGGAGCCAGCCGCTTGAGCCGTGCCGTTTCGTCGTTGTCCACGTTCGCCGGCCGACATCCGTTGGGAGTTTCTGCGGCCCGCAGTCCGTGTGAAATGAAGCTTGGTGCCCGACTCCCCGATTTCTCGATTCCGCGCTTGCTGCACGATCCCACCGCCCCACGATCTGTTACTGTAACCCCGTCAACGTGAAACAGAAGAATTTCCTTGTCTTTTTGCTTATTCCTGACCATGCCTCGTGTTTTCCGTTTTCTGTGGGACATCTCAGACAACGCAACGGCGGCCATGGCCAACACCACGCCACAAAAGCAGCCTCAATCACGACAGCCAATAATCCGGCGCCCGCACCGCAGGCGACACAGGCATCGGCGATCTCCCGCCGTTAAGATTCGCAACCACACCCGCGACCAGGCCGCCCGGACTAACGCCGGCAATACCAGGAGAATTGGCACCCCCAATATGAAAGTCCAATTTCGGAATCTCAATCTTAGGCGGCGCCTCCTCCCGCGGTTTCTTCCCGGGCGTCTTCTTCATAGGACTGACGCCCCTGCTCTCCGGCGGTGGGCCAAACCGGACATCCCGCACGTCCCAGCCGTCTTCGTGCGCGGCCGCGACCCAGGTCCGTAAACCATCGTGGACGGACCCGTAGAACTTTTCCTTGCACATGCGCAGGCTGCCGCCCAGACAACGTTCCCAGCCCGAGATGCGCAGCTGTGCGCGCAAAGCGTTGCGCTCGGCGGCTGTGGGACCCGTGCAAGCGATGATGGCGTTCATCAGGTCCAGGTGGCTGGCGAGGTAATTGGTCGCGTCCCATTCGACGCCGCCGACGTAGGGGGCCGCGGGCACGGGCGGTCGTTCTTGCGGGAAGTGTCGCGACATGTAGGCTAGCTGGGCGGCATTTGGGGTTTCTGAATCTTCGCCTCCTGACCCTGATTGGGGCTCTGTGTCATTTCGCGGTAAGCCTGAGGGATCGATGATACCCGCTTGGTGTAGCTGTTGTTGCTGCTGGGTATCTTTTTGTTCGCCATTCTTGCCGCCTGATCCTTCGTCTGGTGGTGGCAAGGAGACAATATTCATGTTGTGCAAAAAGATCCAGAACACCTCCTTGGTCACGCTCACGGCCTCCTTGCACCATACGCGGTATGGCCTCTCGCGCCTCATCTCGAGGATGAAGTTGACAGGCTTTTTCTCCTCTTCCGTCTCGGGATCTCGCAAGAATTGCAGGATCGTCTGGGCTCTCGTGGTACGTTCCTGAGGCGTGGCACACTCGATGTAGGTGAGCAAAAGCGAGGTGATGATGTTCCGTGTTGTGAACTCGCTTGGTCCTTTCTTCTCGGGGTCGAAGATCAGGTGTAATAGCGCTGGGAATAAGGTGGCGTGGATGGTGTGCAGGTACTGTAACGCCAGAGCGGTCGTGCAGAGCGCTTTTAGGCAGAGCAGGTTTTCGTGCAAAAGGGCGTCTTCGTGTTCCTCTCTGTTGGATGGTCAGTACCTCTTCATCCGTCACCAGAGGGGAATGCCTGTAAACTCACCTCCACTCAACAGCCATGATCCGATGCAGCAAGTCCACAATCTCCTTCATCCCTCCTTGCTTGATAAACTCCTCCGTCCAAGCCACCGTCTCGTTCCTCAGCAACAGCCGAAGCTTGTGGAGTTTACCAACCTCGACCAGCTCCGGCTTCCGCTCCTTTTGCAGGTAAGCCACAAAGTCCGCCGGCACCTGCTGACTCTTGCCGCTCTTCATACCCAGGAAGCCGCCCACGCCATTTCCGGAAGAGCTACCGTTCACATCACCAAACGACGGTCGCTCGCTCATGCTGCTGTCGTTGGACTTGGACCTGAAGTGTCGACCAATACTCTTGCTGGGTGACGACTGGGCCTTGGTGGCGGCACCTTTGCCAAGCGACAAACCGAATCCTTTCCTCTTCGTCCTGCCCGTTCTCTCGTTATCCTTATCCTTATCCTTGCTGTTACCGTCGTCCCGTTTTGAGTTTGAAGAAGACGATTGCTGCTGCTGCTGATCTTCCCGTTCTGATCCGGCACCACCATTGACACTGCCTGCGTTCCCTCCCTTCTCAAGAGACGTGTTGCTCGCATTCTGGTTTACCATCTTGGCCCGCATCTCCGCCCAGTCCTGCCGGATGAATTCCAACTTGATGGTATCGTTGAGATTGCGCATCTTGTACCGCTGATTTTCGGGAATGTTGCGCCGGTCCAGCATGGCCTCAAGGTGCTTGTCGATATCCTTGGGATCGATGGGTTGTTGTAGTAGGGACTGGGCGCTTTGCTGCCGTTCCATACTTGCAGATTGCGCTGCTGCTGATTTGTTTCGCTCTCCTCCTGCTGAGCTACTGCTTCCTCCACCATTACCGGAGCCGGAAAACATGCCCTTAACGTTGAGGCGTTGGCTTGACCTGTCTGATCCTTGACTTCCTCCTGCCAGCTCTGAACTTTTGGCTGTGGCCCACGTTTGCCTCTTCCAACTCCGTTCTTGTCTTTCCTGTGATGACGACTGGTTATTGTTATCAGATTGCGGTTGCCTGTAGCGAGTGTCGGTGCTCGAGTCTGAAGGTGTACGCTTCTCGTCCTGCTGATTGTTACTCGCAAAGTACTGGTGAAACGACTTTGGCCGTGGTTTTGAGCGGCCGTTGTTTCGATCTCTATCGCGGTTTTCCGCATCAGGCTTCAGATGTTGGCTCTCAGCTATGGACGACCGCCCTCCGCCTGTTCCAGGGCGCTCTGGGTCAGCTGGCAATGGTTTGTTGCTGTCCCAGAAAGGATCTCTGTAGTCCGACGGCGAAGCCACTGGTGTCGTTGACGAGCTCAGCCCTGGAGGCGGCGCAAAGGGCGAGCCTCTGGCAAACTGGGCATAAATGGGTGGTGGTGGGCTGGTATCAATGGCACTTGGTGCGCGGTTCTCCTTGTCCTTGTTACGGCGACGACTGTTCTCTTCGTCCTCTTGTTGCTGCTGCCTCAGGTTCTTGGTTGACTTTGGCCTTAGAAGCTGGCCGATGTTGGCAGCCGATTTGACCTTCTTGGGCTTGGTGGGTGATTGTTCTCCCTTGTTCTTGGAGGCCTTGCTGGAATCCTTGAGTCCGAAGGGCGACTTAAGCGAGATGGTCGCAAAGGGGTTCGACTTCTTTTCGGGAGATCTTGGTGGCCGGTCGTCCAATTGGTTGGGCTGAAGCTCACCGAGGGCGTCGGCGAGTTGACGTCTCTGGTATCCGGACAGGTTCATGTCGCAACTGTGTCGCTGGGCCACCAGGTCGGGATTGAGCTTGGAGGGAGGGCGCAGCAGTTCAGGAGGGTCGATGACGGAAGTAGCCGAGGACGATAGAGCGGAATCGCGGTCGCGGTCGCGGTCGCGGTTGCGGTCGGAAGACTGGTTGAAATCGGTCGAGAAGACGGCAGGGGGCAATTGTATTAGACCAGCTCCGACAGTATTGCTTCTCTTATGGCCCATAAGCGATCGGAGGTAGGAGGATTTGGGGCGTTGTTGTGGCTGGATCTGGTTCTGGTTTTGGAGGGGAAAGAAGGGCGGCAGATCGTTGTTGTCACTGTTGTTATTGTTATTGTTGTTGTTTCGATCGCGCATGCCGTCGCCTGAGCCTGTTCGGTAGGCAGGAACGCCGCCGTTGAGATCCGCCGCGGGAGGCATGGCGGCGGCAGCAGGCTGTGAGGGCGAGGCGGAACTCGGCAGCTGCTGGCTTTGAGACAGGAGTGTTTTGGGAAAAGGGAATTGGAGGCGGTGGAAATGTCTCTGGTTGTGTCAAAACAAAGGCCCGGGTGATCGGCAGGGGGCGTGCGAGCCGTGCGGAGGATGTGCGGGTGTGATGGGCGTCGTCGTGTACGCGGACGTGTCTCGGGATTGTTCACGGGTTTGACGACTGGAAATTGGTTGTCGTTGTTGAGAAATGGAGTTGACGTTGTTTTCGCGATTTCGCGGTCGGTGTGTACACTACCCGTCGTATAGATGTGGTATGGCCGGCCCCTGGCGATCGATTCACGGGGGGAGATGGGATGGGATGGAGGTGTGTAAATGGTCAAGGTATGGAAATAACCTTGATAGCCAATGCTGGACAGATGCGGAGAATTGATGGTGAAAGGATGCTGGACTAGTTCTAGCTTGGAACGAACTGTAGTCGGTCTAGCACAAAAACACCTGATTAGGAGGGAGGCCCAGTTCAGCTCACTTCAGGTACCGAACGGATGGAGTATGGAGTCCTAGAACTAATTGACTTGCCCAGAAGACAGTTCAAATTGCGGTGGACGGGAGTGAAGGGTTGCGATTTGGGGAATTACTAACCAGAGACTCCAGTGGTTCGCTGACCAAGAAAACAGTCAACGACACCAAGGTTTCGGAAAGAAAAAAACAATTGAACAACAAAAGAAGATCAAACTAAAACTCCCCGAATCAAAAAGTCGGGATGCGGAATAGCTTCAACCAGAAAACCTGCTGGAATGATGGAGGTCGGAGTCGACTTGACAGGACCTTGCTTGGGGACCTTGTTGATTTGGCTCACTTTGGACGACGGGGGACCAGTAAAAAGGGACGAAAGCCTCCTAGCCTCCTTCCCAGTAGTTGCCCGTCGTCCCCAAAATGGAGCAAGTGACTCCACTCTCCAGCACAGTTCCCTCCTCCAGCATCCATGTCAGCGTGGTCTTGGCGACCAATCGAAGCAATGTTTACCAAGGCCAGGCGGCCCGTTGCCCAGGCAATCAATCAGTCCCTGGCAGCCTTTCGTCTCTCCTTCTCAGCTTCTTTTTCCTGGCATTGGATCTCATCTCATCGCTGACAAGCAACCACGACGAGACCGCAGTCCACGACAAGATGCGGCTTCCCGTCACAACCAACAGCTCTTGTTCAGCGGCCACTACGGCCTACCACGCAGCACCCAACTGCGCCTGCCCTGCCACCGGCTGGATGGGTAACGGGGAGACGGGGAATGGGGATGGCTTCCCCAACTTTAACCCCACTTTCAATTTATCAAGATGCGCTTTCTCGGTGCCATCTGAGTCCATCTTTGAACCCGGCATCTCCAATTGCACCACATCTCATGATCTTATCCCACTTCTCCATCTCGATATGTAGTTAACTTCTAAACCATGGGACTGAAAAGATCTACTTCCAGCTGGTACCATAGTCTATACGTGATCTTTATATTGCACGATATGACGAGGTAAACGTGCGAACAAATAACTAGCTGAGCAAAAAACAAGCGGAAACATCACCAACTCAACACCCCCCTCTGCCTATCAAACCCTCCCCTAAGCTGACTCTGCGGCTTAATAACCTTGCCCTGCAACACGGTAAACTTGACGATACCCTCGCAATCCTCCGGCTTGACTCTTGCCAGCCAGATACATTGCGCGGCACCAATCTCACCCTCTTCCTCTTCACCTTCACCGTCTTCCTTCTCTACTTCCGCCTTATTACCCTCCTCAGTCCCCTCTTTAGCCTCACCCTCTTCTTTCCTTGAGGTTCTCTTAAGTTCCTCAGGCTTCTTAGGCCTCAATTCCCCCCCTCCTTCTTTCGCCCTCTCAACATGATCCAACCAAAAGCATCCGGCCTTCTATAAACCAGCATATTGGCCGAGTATTTATGTCCACCCACATGACTAATAAAGTAAATCCCCACGCCGCCGGGCCTCTCATCATCCAAATCTCTATACAGCCCCAACGGCTGCAAATGCCGTTGCAGTTCCTTCCTCAGCAGCGGGGCAGATTGTCCGCACCGCGCGTCTCTGGTCTTTTGCGAGCACAGCAGGATCAGAGCTTGATGTGGACAGGGGCGGGTGGTGAGTTCTTTGATGTAGGCTGGGGAGGCTTCGGGCAGGGGAGCTTCGAGACTGGGGGAGATGCTGAAGGGGGTGAGGGGGGTGTTGTTGGTCGGTGCTGACGAGACGATTTTTTCCAAAAGGAAGGGGACGGTGGCTGGCGTGACGTTTTCGATTAGGATGAAGGCTGGGAGGAGGAGGAGGGTGGTGGGTTCGGAGTAGGAGGTTGTTTGGTGCGGGGTGGGCATGTTGGAGGCTGAGAGCATCAGTTTCTGTTTTTTTTTTTTTTTGTCTTTTGTTAGTATCTATCTTCATGTAAAGAATGAAGGAGAGTCGTATGGGAGAAAGAGAGAAACGCACCCCATTACCAGGCGCCTTGGCCCCCGCAATAGCCTGCATCACACTGCCCTTCTCGTCCGCCACATCGCGCACCCAGTCCGTCTTGCCCGTAGCGACCAACACGTGGGTAGCCCACCCTTTGATCTGCCCGTACAGCTCGTCCTCCTCGTCGATCTTGAAGGTGCGCGGGTAACTGATGGTGCATGTCGCGCACTCGTGGTCGCAGTCGTCGCCGTCTACTTCCTTCGAGACCACCGGGAACAGGTCCTCTGGTTTGCTGGCTTTGGAGCCAGAGTCGCCAATGGCTAGCGACTTGGCGCTGTTGAGGAGGGATTTGAACATTTTGGTTGGTTTCCAAGGTCTTTTGTTGTTGTTTCTGGAGGAATTGTTGGAGACAACCGGGGCATGAGGATCTGATAAGGAAGAAGACGGCATCGGCGGAGGCGGGGCCATGGCCTCGGGTGCCGTTGCGCTACCCGTCTCCAGGCCGTCAATCCGCTTACCTCCGCGCTAACCTCCGGCGTTCAGGGGTGATCCCCAGTTTCTCAGCGATTGCTTGAGCAATTGAGTGTGGACTGCTTGGCGTGCGTTGGAATAGCGCGGGATAGCTGTTGACAGCGGCTGAGAGGTTGACGGGAAACCAGTGGGGGTAGGGCAATCGTAACAGCTCAGGTACTTTTGTCTGCTTGAATAGCGGAGTGAGATACTTGAGGGCGTATCTAATTGCTGTGCATTGCGTCATAGGAATCGGGGTTTCGTTGTCTTTATAGTTTGTATTTTGTGTTTTGTATCGTCTTCTGACTTTCCAATGGCGATAAAAGCCAATTGAAGACAACGGGGAAAAGTTGTCTTTTATACACGAATTATCAGATCCGAATACCCGACCCGACCGAACCTCGATCTGATAAGCTTACATCTACCTACTGTAGCACTTCTCGCATTTTGTGTGTGCATCTGTACCACCACCACCACCAGGAACACCTGCCTCGACCTGCCTACCAATCTCGTGATGGTGTAAGCAAGGGCTCAGCTCAGCTTAACACCGCAACCCCGAACCCAAGACCGAGACCAGTGGTGACCACAGACAAAAAGCCGCGTAACCACTTCCAGGTTACGTTAGCTTCTCATGATACGCGATGGTGTGTTTTTGACAACTCTTGTCGTGATTTGCTAGGTTGTTCGGATCGGATTGGGTTATCACACTGCAAGAATCCTACCGCCCTACCTGCCTGCTTGCCTACCTGCCTACCTGTCTCCCTGCCTACCCCGGCTCGAGTCTGTTCCATTGACGTGGGTGATCATGAAATAGTTTTCCCGCTCTTCTTATTGCCGAGCCGCTTCCGACCGTTATGTGTAAGTGATAAGATCGCTGATCATCCGGGACCCTGGACGACGGCACGACGGCACACGGGCGGGTGGGCGGACTTGGCTCCGGGGTTCTAATGGTATGGGCAGGTATTATAGCCAAGAGCCCGAGGAATGTTCTCAGTGTGTGGAAGCAGTTCTGTATGCATTAGGCCGGCTGTGTCATCTTGCAAAGTATACATTGCACATTTATTTTCACTACTGAAACCGTATACAGACTCCCAACTGATCCCAAAAACGCTGAGAAGGGGAAATAGCCGGCAATGTATGTGTGGGCAAAAACCCTCCTTCATCTATGTATATACTTTCTATTGCTGTGGTCCACCTGGATATCCCTTTTTCCGCTGCTCGCTTCCTCCCGTTTTTAATGCCCACACTTGCGGCATACTACATCCGCTGTTCCCCTATGAATTCTTTTTCATGGTCAGTACACATCTAAGGCGTACGATCCATGACCAAAACAAGGAAAAGCCCGACCCATAAGTGGTATACAACCAAAAGAAAAAAGCCAAAACTGTAACCTGGGTGTAAGATAGAGTGGTAAGAATACCCCAAGCCTTAAATTTTAGAAATGATGATCTGATCCTTGCTCCGGTCCGAGCCCCTGCTGCTCACAGGTGCTTCTTTCCGTCCTCATCCATCGAACTTCCTGTCGATGTTTCGTCCTCCACCTCCTCATCCACCGACTGATCACTGAGGGTATACACCTTCGCCTGACTCTTCCTCCTCCTCATTTCGCCTCTTTCGCGCATCGCCTCGCGAATCTTCTTGCTCGCCTCGTTGAAGCCCTCTTCGCTGTTGAGGTTCGGGAATCTGTCCACGGGAAATCCACTAAGCGGTCCGCCGAACTGAACGTTACCACCACCACCGCCTGCACTGCTGCTGCGGCTGCGGCTTCGACTAGGTGGTCGGGTAGCGAACATGGGCACCTGTCCGATGTTGCTAAACGACTCGTTACGTGGAATGTTGCGACTGGACGACGTGGTACCGGTTCTGCGAATACCGTGCGGACTTTCGGTGCCGGGTGTGGAAAGGCCGGGCGTGGAGATGACGGGCGAGGATACGCCACTGTCCCGCCTCTTCAACGGCTGAGTCGGCGAAACGGTACCGTCAGCGTGGACGCGAGTTGAGCCGTCAGCGGCAACGAGACGAATCTGTTCAAAATCTGGGAACATTTCGGGTCCGAGCGTGTTGATGAGGTGGGTAACCTGTGCACTGAGTTCCTCTCGCCTTTGCTTGAGACTCTGAAGACTGTAACTCGACGTTGGGTTGATGCACAACGCAAGCGGGCGTAGGGATTTGACAATGTCCATCCCGACCTCACCGAAACGCAGAGCAGCAAAAGTAATGGCAGGGAAGAAGACCCAGCCAAAGAAATAGACGGCCCAGATTGGAACCCACTCAGGCACATACCCCCAGAGCCGATGCTTGCCCACCAGGTAGGCCAGTATGCATGTGTATAGATTATACAAAACGGGTGCAACAGCCAGCGAGACAAGCATCTTCCAGGTTGCAATCACGTCCTTTCCTTGGATCTTGACTGTCGAACCAGCAAGCGCCTCCTTGGCCTTCTGGTGACTGATGCGCTTGGTAGCAATAAAAACAGGGGCAAAGAGAATCAAGCCCGGGAGTACACCGGCCGACAACAACAGCAGCTTGGCGACACGGTAGAAGAAAGTAACAACAACCTTGGGCCACGACAGCTTTGCGTACTGTACTTGGTGGTCGCGGATGTTCAGGTATCGAAGCTGTTTGTTGTACTCGGCGACCGACTTTTGCAGCTCAACGATGCGAGGATCATCTTTGTACTTGTCGTATCCCAGAGCGAGACGACGGTTTAGCTCTACCACGATAGGTAGAGGCAGCTTCTTGCCGGCGGGATTGTACAGGCGTCTTGCCGCCTGGATAACCATCAAGGTGTCATAGTCCGGTGCCGAAACAGTGACGGCGCTCAGGCTTTGATGAACCATGTCCAGCAGCTTGCCAATGGCAGCACGTCGCTTATCCCTCATGCCGTACATCTCGACCAGCTCCTTGGGCACCTCGAAAGGAGCGCCAAATTCCAGGACAGCCCTTGACCGGAACTTGTGAGGGTGGAAGTAGTTCATGCCAACCGGCACAATCTTGAGGCCGCAGTTAGGGGCTTCTGCCAGCGTTCCCAGGGCCATAATAGCAACACCTGCCTTCAAGGGCAGCAGATCGCTGCGGTCGTGGCTACCTCCTTCGGGGAAAATGCCAACGCAGCCACCGTTCTTGAGCCTATCAAACACGGCTTGATAAACCTTACTTTGATCAATATGCGGTGCGATCTTGAACTTTGTACCCTTGTAGCCGTCCTTGATTCCCTTGACCTCCTTGTTCTGGAACTCGCCGCGGTCATCGATATCGTCGCGTCCGGTGAGTTGTTTCAAGGGGAGTTGGGAGTTGAAGGGGCGCTTAACGCGGATTTCCTCAGGTCCATTGATTTCAGTGATCTCGGCGTTCGAGCCGCTGGTTCCCTTGATAGAGGGAAGGAAGATGATTCCGCCCACTTCAGCTTGTTTCTCGAAGTTGGTGCCGACGCCGCGGATGAGGGTCGGGTCGTCGATGGGGTCGGGAAGATAGATGGTGCCCTCACCAGGCTTGGCCGAATCTTGGGGTCTGCCGACGGGGACAGAGCCGACCTGGCGAGAGGCCCAGCCGATGAAGCCCTTGACGGACTTTTGCGCGATAAGGAGGGAGACGCGGCGTTTGGCCTCATTTCGCAGGGTGCGTTGTAGCACAAGGGCGTCTACGAACTGCAGATCAGACGGCAGAAGTCAGCCAATGGGGCCCGGGGTGCTTGACGTCACGGATCAAGAGCACGAGCACTCACCTGGTTTGCGTGTGGTGCGGCGACGAAGAGAACAGGGCCGTTGCGAGGCACCTTCCAAGAACCGCGGGGATGGACTTCACGGAAGAAGGTATCGACCAGGAAGGACATGGTCCACAGGAAGGTGTCGTACTTCCAATTGCTCATGGGATAGAGCTCCTTGGATACCGAGGGCGACTCTGCGCTCTGCGGAGGAGCGGAGGCATCTTTGTCCTGGATGAGGGGAGCGGTCTCGGTGCTGCCATTCTGGTGGTGATGGGACTCTGGCACACTGCCATTTGCTTGTTGCTGTAGTTCGGCCATGTCTGCAGAGAGGATTCTTCGATAGTGTTTGGCGAGATGGAATTTCGGAGAACAGTCAGCTCAGCAGAGTGTCTCTCTGTGGTCTTCTTCTCCCCTCGGGAACCGCAAGCGGCGCAAAGGAGGAAATGACTTTGGCCCCTCTCGGTTCGAGATCGACGTCCAGACGACCTTAAGCCGAGATGCGCTCTTTGTCGTCGTCGACGGGAGCAGTGAGATAAGAGAGGACTGAACGAGCGTCGGGTGATTGCAGTTCGTCTTGTTGAGGACGGGAATTGTCAAGAAAGGCAAAAAGAGTTGCACAGGTAGATGGAGGTAGCGGGCGGGTAGATCAAGAAGTATATCGATAAAGTGAACTTGAACTGATAGGGCTGCCCATCCGCCGTCGTGGGGTTCCTACGATCGGGTTTGATGGGTGGCAGTCGGGCTCCCCGGCTAACCTTTTTTTCTTTCTGCGATTTGTCTAAGCTTTGAGGGGGAGGTGGGTCCACTTTGGATGACCTCGTTCTGGGAAGGAACTCCGGGCAAGGGCATCGAATGGTAAGTACTTGTAGCTATCGCCAAGTAAATAGTAAATAGTGGTACAAGAAATGTTGTTGAAGAGTTGGAATGCCAATGCCTCGGTGCGAAATGTAACTTTTTTAATACCTATGAGGCTCGCCGTTAGGGCTTAGGCGGCTCGCAGTCCGGTCGCAAACTCGAGGGACCACCTCGGGCCAAATGCGCTTGGATGTGATGGATGCGATGGCGACAGGATCCAGTGCTGAGATTGCGCCTCGAATTGTATGCAATGTCGCAGCGGATGGTCCCATCCACAATCTTGTGCTTGTCCTTAATATCCGTCCAGAGGCGTGTTTTGTTGCAAGAATAGGTACACGAGCAAGGTGTATTTATATTACAGTATCATCCATATCCATAGTAGATGAGATAGAGAGGAAGGACAACGTCAATGATGCACCATCCCCGAAAACGAACAATACAAGAGCTCGTTATCTTTTTGTATTCCTCTGACCGATAACGGTTTTCTGCGGGCGGCTGCAGCCACTGTTTGTCCACCATTGTGTCGGTATCGAACGTTATCAACAACGAATCGAAAACCTTGGAAAACTCTCGAAAGGAAAGGCCAATCGCATCAACTCCATACTGTATTCCATTCTATTTGCAGTCCCATTCAGTCCCAGGAAATTCATACCAGGTCTGCATGTCTGCCCATTTCCGAAGCCACCCGAAAAACACATGCTTTTCTCCGTCGCCCTGCTCGGTGAAAACGACCGAGGAGCGCAACGGCCTTGCCGCTTTCAGCGAACCCTCAGTGCGAGAGTGCCTGCAAGCGTGATGCCCGTTACGGCCTACAACTGTAGCTGCCATCCCGCTTCATCCCTGGAACGGGGAACCGCTTGGCTGCGACGCTTGCATTTCTTGACATGTGCTTGCCCCACGATGTTCAGAAGAATCCGTTGTCCTTCCTCCTTCCAAGTCAGGCATCACCAAGACTCGCGAGATGAGAATGAAAAATGCAGGAATCATTCAGGGCATGAGGTCTGGCAGGAAAGAGCATTACAGCTCTGGCCGTCAAGGTTCCCGATATGAGAGTCCGACCAATCAGATCTCACGGAAAGGAACTGAACAATTACACCACAGCAGTCATCCAACGACTTCGGGGTACCAACATGTCGCAACTTCCTTCTTTGCTGCCGAGCTTTTTCTGACGCTTATCTGTACTGCTTTCCCAATTCATGCTTCAATGCATGCGTATGTACATGTACACTTGAAGCTTCTTTCCGCAGGGACAACGAGTTTTGGTCTCGTTTATGTTACTCTCCTAACAGATCTACATATAGTATGGGTGACAATCAGTTAGTCAATGATCTTTGTCAAAAAGCTGCCACTACCATCCAACAATTGCAACCTGCCAACCTTGCCTTGCTTCTTGCATCATCGAACGCAGCAGCAATGGCGGCGCATGTGCACTACAAGAATTCTCCTAGGGCACACACACACCCTTCTGAGGCTGACTTTCCAGAATGACGATGTCAGAAAAATAATCTTGTTGTCTCAGGGTCCTCTTAGCTCAAATGCAACCCACCATTACGATCACCACCACCACTACGGACCCTGAAAAACAAAAAAGGATCCTTGGCGTCCATCATCTCTACGTCGAAGACCTCGGTGGACTTGTTAAGGGTGCTGGCAAATTGCCACATACTGCACGTTCAAACACATTTGGACAAGAGCCGATGGCAACTGGTTCTCCAGACCATCACGGTACCGGAAAACCCGAGGCTTTTCCAACATGAGATTCGGTCATGTTTTGAACGTGAACATTGAATTCTAGGTAAGTTCGGTTAGACCGAGATGAATGGTACTGAAAGCAGATATTAAAGCCGACTGTTTCCGAAAGCTGATGAAGAACGGTCTCGGGTTAAGGTAACAGGGACACGGAGAGGGAAAAGGAGTGAACACCTGAGTAAGACAGCATGGAGAAGACTTCGAAAAGAATATGAAGTGCTGTCGTATGTACGTAAACCTCTTTTAATATCCCCGGTTTTCTCATACGTTCATTTAAACACGTTCAAGTTACTTCCTACTTTTCGCCGGGATTTCTGCCCCTATACACTGTTAAAGACGAGAAACTTAGAACCAACCATTTGTATCAGAGTCCCAGATGATACTCTTAACGTTGATGAATGCTGCGGAAGTAACACCACCGCGGCCAAAGCCGAAAGGCTTCTCAGTATTGACAAACAATGGAATCCATCAAACATAACAACATGGGAAACATGGAAAAGACAGAGAGGGAATCACAAGAAAAGAAAAATAATAAAAGACTTTGATGGTTTCAAATTGTTGTATGTACATAGGACACCTTCATCCCCTTATTCTCTTGACCTGTCTCTGTTCCATCTATCTAGATAGGCAACGTTCTCTATTTCCAACAATCCCTCTAGGCCTAATGAGAATTTACCATTTTAGGAACACCACCGTAACAGTCCATTCCATACACTCTCATCTCAGACAATGCCGCTGCAGGGCCTTCGTAGCGGATACTGCCTCTGTATCAGACCCCCTCAAGGTTGTTTAAAAGTCGAACCGATAGAACCGAACTTGATGTTCGCTGTTATTTGTAAAGTGCAAATGTCAACCATCATCCACCACATAAACGGGAATCATATGATGAAAGAACGTGGGGATGAAATAACTCACAATAAACAACCTGATTATTAGCCTGCGCACTCTCAATCTCCGCCGGCACCCCCGAGCTAGTCTCACAGCTTCCCCTGCCCTTGCCCGGCGCCTCCGGGTCCGCATCGACCGGGAAAGTCGAATCTAACCACAACATGTTCGCATAGTGATCATCCCACAGGCTCATGACCAAAACCATAGGCTTGGCAATCGCCGCGCTGAACTGCGCGAACCCGCCCTTGTTGGCGAAAATGTCCGCGTCGCTGAACGCCACCTTTTGCTTCTCGCAGAAGTCCGGCGTGAGCGAGTTGCCCGGGTTGCCGTCGATGGTGGACTCGCTGTTGGCGATCACCTTGCCGTTTTGCACGTAGAAGCGCTTGATTTCGGAGAGCTCGCCCGAAGAGCCCTTGATGAACTGGGTTACGACGGTGAATTTTTTCGTAGTGTCTACGGTCATGCCGGGCCCGTAGAAGTCGCGCACGCCTTGCCGGTAGGAGTTGAAGTCGCACCCGTCCGGGTCGCAGGTGCCGGAGTAGCGGTCGTCCGAGTAAGTGCCGCCGCAGGCGTCACCTTCGCATCGATGTTGGCCGGTGGTGGTGCAGGGGTGGGGGGTGAAGGCTGTGGAGATTGAGTTTGCTTCCCTTTTGGGTTGTTAGCTTATACCGGAGAAGCTAGCGGTGATGGATGGTGGTGGCGGTAATGGAGGAAGGGGGGTTTGAGGTGGAAGAGAGGAAGGGGAAAGACTAGTAACGTACCAGATATCCATCTCAGTGCAGCAAGAGCCGTACTTGCCCACGCCGGCGTTGGGATCGTTGGTGGACTCCTTCCATTCGCCTACGTTGGCCTCGCCATTGATGAACTTCAAGTCGCGCGGGCATTGGGCATCGCAATATCCGGTGCCGTATTTGGCGCCGGCCTTGTTGCCGGAGTACTTGGACAGACCACCGTCCTCGTCCATGGAGACGAAGTACAAGGCACCGTTGAGACCGCAGCTGTCATGATAGTCAGCCATCATCAGCATTTGATCTCCGATATGTGTAGTTGGCGATGCGCCTTGTAAAGACAGGGAGAATGAGGTGAGCTTACCCAAGCTTGGAGACGTCCACGTCAAATGTGAACTCGTTGCCGAGAAGAGTGTACATCTGATACTTGCTGGCGCCGTTCATCATGTACAGACGAGAACCAATGTTGGTGGCTGTCGTCCATACGTAGTCAGTAAGGGGGCCAACTTTAGAAGTTACTTAGGCTTAAGATGGAGATAACTCACAGTAATCCCCCTTTTGTACAAACTTCAACGTCAGCGCATTACCGCTGGTCGAAGCACCATACGTCGACGCGTACGAAGCGCCATCAATAGCGCAGTTGGACGCACACGACTTGCCGTCCTTGCAAATCGTCGTGTTCCATGCGTTGCCATTGTAGCAGTTGGTGTAGCCGTTCTTGTCGTGCACCCAGCGCCAGTTGGCGTCGATGGTGACCTCGCCGTTCACGTTGCTGCACGAGCCACCGGCGGTACACTTTTGCCATGTCATCTTGGGATGGGTTTCGGTCGTCTCTTTGCCAACTTGCTGGGCGGCGGCGAAGCCGACAAAGGCCGCGAGGGCGGCGAACTGAGTGAACATGGTGGATGATACGAGCTCTCGACGACGAAAGAGAGGCTGGTGATGTCTGAGAGAAGGGTGGCCTCAGAGATTATGTGTCAATAAAGTGGGAGCTGACTTTTATATGGATGGCCTCATGGCTTTTCAGTTCGTAAAGTTATATCCTTCGTGATTGGGGTGTTGTTGACTCGTGTCGACTGACGGAGAGTTTGTTCCTCGTCGTTCCGTAACTGCTCCAGTCCTGATAGCTTCATTGTAGTCGTTGATGGATCTTGCCTTGCTCTCAAATGGGGAGCTTCGGGATTCTGGGCCTAAATTCCGAGAACAGATCCACGCGGGTCAGTCAGATAGGAGAAAGAAGTCCTGGCAATAGATCAGAGGTAGTAGTGAAAGTGGCAGAGAAATCCAGGAGTTTCGGATATCGTTTCCGCCCATCCTGGTTGATAATGAGCGAGAATTTCTTGCTGTCTGCCGCTGTCTCTCCTTGAAGAGTGATAGGTGCGAATACATTTGAAGAAAGCTTGAACTGAGTGTTCGTTAGCAAAGGACCTCTGCCTGGTAGGCTGTCCAAGGATCGTGGTAGTATCTGTATGTGTTCCACAGATCTAGGATCAGCACAGCTCTATCTTGCCGTTTGACAAGTGCTGGAGGCTCTGCAAGAACGGTACAGGTAGAGCTGCCATATAAAGCAGCGGAGACCCAGGCTCCGATCTGCTGGGTCTTCTTCCCAAGGCATGAGCATATTGTGGTGAGCATACCTTACAACCTGGGGCCCGGCGGCGGAACCGTTAGCGAACATCCATACACCATGCGTAGGCGAAACGGGCTGTCATTGAAGATCGCTTCATGTTGCCTTTAGACGCTTCCCCAGACTTTCGCTTGAGCACTCGTGAAAACTGCCCATGGGGACCCCATTCACGGCAGTGAAGGGCCGAATATCGGCATGCAGGGACGGCATGAGGAGGATGAAGTTGCATGGAGATGATAAGCTGAAAGCAAGAGTGACAGATCAACGGCAAGTTCTGATTTTGCCATCTCGACTGGGACAAGGCTAGGATGGACACTCAAGCCCTGTCCGGTGTCACAGGGCGGGACGGGACCGAGAAGAGAAGATAGGTTGCATGACCGCGACAGGACCTAGATATCGACCCGCATATGGGCCGTGTTTGGGAACAGTGACCCCCAAACCCCATGATACTTGTGTAGCTTACATGGCATAGCTCGGACTGATCAACCCGGGAAAGCTGTTCCGTGAAGCGAACAGCCTGAACCGCAGGTATCCCTGGATTGATTGATGAACCCACATTAAGGAAGACTTCTCGGCCCTTAGTAGAAAAAGCTCGGGTGCGAAAAGTGGTAGGGCTCTCGGACACGTAGGAAAAGAATACGAAAAGAAAACTAAAAGAACCATTTCGAAGCACTCTAAGGCGGCTCATGGAAATAAAGCTAGAAAGGTGGGGGTCGTCATGATAGAGATCTTGAGGCTGTTGCAAGCCAAGATCATGTTGACCGGGAATGATGAATCTTTTCTGTCTCGACCAGGCGGAGACCCCACGCCCAGTTCCATTGATGTCTCGGGAGACCGGCAATCTGACCAGAGGTATGATAGATAGGCAGCGAGATACCCATGATGTTGTCTTCTTCCGACTATGGATAAATGTCATAGCCTAGACTTAGATGCCCGGGTGGGATAGAAGACGCCTCGGAAGATTTGCGACTGTAACCACGGGATGCCTTTGCATTGGGGTTGTTCAGGCGAATCAGCTTCACGCTGGACGGCAATCACCTGTCTGAAATGTATTAGCCAGACCACCCACGTCTTTAGCCAGTCTAGAGGACAGGGGTCCATTGACTTCAGGTGTTCCCATCTTTGGAATTCAGAATTCAATTTCATGATAAGAAACTTATTCGAGAGAAGCAAAGCAACGTATCAGGGTCAGGTTGCTTTACTTTGTAACCTTCCCGAGCGTCTTCTTCCTGAGGTGTCGACCTTGGCTTCCTCTATTGCCTTCGCACTTCCTTTCGGCTTTTTGGAGTCTTCAAAGTACTGTGACTTTGTAGGCTTCTTCGAGGGATGCGCTTTTGCCTTCTTCGGCGTAAATGTCACCTCTTCGTCTTCTTCCGTCTTGATCTTCCTCTTCCTAGACGCGGCCTTTTCTGTCTTCACCTTTGATCCATCTGCCTCCGGCTCCTCGCTTTTGACTTTTGATTTGGCCACCTTGGCTCTGGACGCTTTCTTCGGGGAGTCCTTCTCTTCAGCCGACTCAAGGGGCTCTTCCTTCACGCCGGACACAACCTGACCAGTTTTCTTCTGCCTTGCGGGTGCATAGCAACTTGTGCGTCCGCCGACAGTAAGAAAGGCCAACTTGTCACCATTGGGAGTGTGACTATGCGCATTTTTGGAACCTTTACCCCAGCGATAGTTGAACAGCCAGTCGTCTGGAAACTGATCCGAATTCCCAAGCTTGTCGACAGCCGTCTGACACACATATCTGATGGACTCGTAAAGCTGCTTGATCTCAGCATCGCTAAAGTCGTTGCAGTATTGTTCTGGGTGAAGCTTTGCTTGATATAGGACTTCATCGGCAACCCAGTTTCCAATGCCGCTGATAACAGCCTGGTCAAGCAGAAGAGCCTTGATCGGCACACGGCGCGATTTCATCCTCTCGCGCAGATAGTCCTCGGTAAAGACATCGAGGTCGACCACCGGATCTGGGCCGTTTTCCACAAGCGGTGAGTATTTCCTTATGTCCTTTCCAGGACAGTCAACTGCACGGACACGTCCAAACCGTCGTGGATCAGTGAAGGCCATCTCATCGCCCTCTTCTGTCACGATCTTGAACTTCCAATACTTGGGCGGCCATTTGTCGAGTTCGTCAGGTTTCATCTTCTTGTAGTAGTTCGTGTATGCTGTCCTTTCGCCCTTGATATGAATCCAACCGGTCATTCCGAAGTGCATTACAAGATGAGGAGGCATGCTCATTTCCATCCTGGACATCGGTCAGTTAAGGCAGGAGAAAGGCAACGACTCACATCTGAGACAACTGACCAGAAGTATTTTCCTTGGGTCCCTGCTGATATAATCTTTTGCCAATCAGGTCGGCGGCCATCTTGGGCCCATCTGTCCCGACCTTGCCAAACACATTGGCGTCGTCAATGGCTTCTGCATGCTTGACGACCTTGCCTACAAAGTGCAGACGCAGAAAGTGAACAGCACGCGCAACTATCTACAGTCAGCTTGACAACATGTCAGATGCAGAAGACTCATTGAGACGTACTCTCCGCAATTTCAGGCATATCCTGTGTTTTGTTTCGTTTGGCTTTCGTCAATGTTATTCTGGAGTTGGTGATGACCTTATTGGTGCAAACGCGCTAGACGAGAAACAAACATGGAGAAACTGGAGCCTACCCCACGCGAATAAGCAGCGACTGCACGTGACTGGGGGTGAATTGCACTTATCGTTATCGTGCCGTTGCTTTGCCCTCCTGCTTGCCAGCCCGCCGCCAATTCGGTTACCCCACCCAAACTTGCAGCCGAAATTTTTCCCAGCGGCCCCACAACTGTTGCAGCTTCAAAACCTCGCGCGCCTCAACTTTTTTCTGCCGCTTCCCACTTTCAACTTCCATCATCACCGAGCATCGCCCAATCCAATTTTGGTAAGTTCCACATTCTACAAGCACAAGCACACAGCACAATCACATCCTCCTCCCCCCTTTGTCCTGATGACACAACCATAAACCGCAAACTAGAGTCTTTGATCCTACGGGAAATGCAACCAGTTATGTACGTCAGTCTGAATGACAACGTTACAACTACTCGCGCAACACATCATCCATTTGTCTTGAGACAATCTTGCTAACCATCGCGAAGTGCTTCTAGTGATTCTTGAACATCACGCTCATAATGGGCTATAGAGCATAGGATTGGGCAATTGGGGGAGGGAGGGGAGGCGAGAGAATGCCACGATCTTGCGGTCGACCGCGTTAGATTTGGTCCTTGGAGTTACCCATTGATCGTGTGTTTTCTCTCCCTCCCGGTCATGCCATCAAAAGGTTGGTTCTACCACTATTTTCCCGTTCGCTTTCCTGATGATCAACTTTGCTTTTGCAAGTTGGAATTACCGATTGATACCCAATGAAAACATAAAAGGCTGTATCTGATTGAAAGCACTTTATTCTTCTTGATGTGATTATAAACTTGGTTGTCGACCATGTGCTGACTTCCTCGTTCAGATGTCTAGACTTTCCCTCCGCCAAACTCAGTAGTGGTGCCGCAACCAATTGTGAGTTGGTTCATTTGCTGTCCTCTCCGACACGCTTTTATGATGAAACGGCACTGGGCTCCGATTTTTCCACATGAGCACGATATGCCATTTTTGCGACAGGCCTAGAAAACCTCGTCCACTGATCAGCATCCAATATCAACACGTTTTGAAGCACATCAGCAACCATGATCGGTGACTAATGCGCCTCATCAGAGTACAATTGGACATGGAACCACTACTTACTCTTGTCCGTAACAGTTTTGGTAAGCTACTTTTTCTCATTTCACATAACACACCACACCATGATGATCCCTTTAGATGACGAGTCTTATCGGGGATTCCCCATGCAGACAACACTTTTTTTTATACCATTCATGCAACTCTGAAACCTATTTCCATGATCAAGTCTTTTGCAGTTCTCTGTTGAACATCGACTAACGATCACCCAGACAGTTCAAAGCACATTCTCTCCCGATGCATGGACTTTTTGGTATGTGCCACTGTCTCTTTGCTTCGGCACTGAGCTTTCCTGCCCATATCCTTCCTGATGATCCGACAACACAAAGACAAGCATATGTCTGAGCTTCGGCTACGACGACACCTGTCATGTCTGATCTTTGCACCATTGCATCCTGTTACTTGGCCACTCTGCCTTACAGCATGCTAACGGCCACAAAGTCAGTCTGCCATGGTTCAGTTCCAGGATCGCATCAGCCACCACCTGCTTCTCGCTGCTCATGACGGTAAGCCAGCACTTCCTTTTCTTTTCTTGTTCAAGTTGGCTACAATGATGAATAAAATTTATCACGACGGTCTACATAGGATATTGCTTCGGCTTTATCCCTTTGATGAAAAACGCCGATGACACGGCACCCGAACTGAGTCGCCTCTTGAACAAGTCATTGTTTTTGAGTTCAAGTTGATGATCCCAAGCTAACATGGTGGATTCAGGAACCATTGTCTGGTATTATCACCATGATCAAATCCCATCGAGCAGCTTCAGGTAAGTCATTGCAGAGCTGTAGATCTTGACATCGTAGGCCACTGAACCGACTTGGTTCTTTGGAGTCGTGACTTTAGTCACATCGTAGACGCCATGGGTGCTGTTGGCGACCTGGCGAGGTGGATATCTGATAGTCAAAATTGAAAGATCTTGGAATTGCATACTCGTTCCTCTACTCGCTGTCCCGTGAAACCTGTGCACATTGTATTTGTGATATCCAACGTACCGTGATGGCGGAAAAGTCCTGTTGTAATTTGCGGCTTGATTGCGTGATGGCCGTCCTCTGGACCCGGCGCTCCATGTACGCTACCGAGGTCTTGGACTTGTTGTCTCATCCTCCTGGTTGTGGCACATGACATGACCTGAGCTTGTGGCTTCTCCATACTGGATTTCCATGGGCTGGCTCGGCCGACTGGAGATATAGCGATAGAAATGTGTCTCTGCAGCTGTATTGCTTGCGCAAGCAACTGTCTTGTCATATGTGGTTCTCTCATCTCTGTCAAAAGATCCCACTGCGCATTGGAAATTTGCCCTCTGTCGGTTGGGGGAAACCCGTTACCCCCTGCTCCATGGCAACACCAAGACGTAAACATGATGAGCCCGAGAGGCTTCATATAAACCGAAACATCGGTTGCCCGAGCCTACATGCGTCGTGTAACCCGAGATGAGAGAAAGATGTATGTTATATTTACAAGATGACAGAATCATGGAGAATGTACCTTAGGTAGTGTGCCATGTGAACCAAACAAGTGTAGCTCCATGTAAACCCGTTTCCCGCCTGTAAGTAAACACGATCCCTCAAAATCTCGGGGCAAATTCGCATCTTTTTATGATCCTTAATCACTTATAACCAAATCCCGTTTCTCCATGAACTCTATTCCAACCCATCCGCACAACCGTGTAACAGTCCCCTACCCACAACCGCTCAGGAAGATCCATTAACCTCCAACTTCCCCTCCTTCTCCTCCAAATACTTGACCATATCCTCAATCGTGCAAACCTTCAACCCCCACCTCCTAGCAAACGCCACGCACTGCTCCCCCCTCATCATACCTGGCTCCTCCCTGACCGCCTGCCCTTCGACCTCCCGTCCATCATTCACCAGCTCACTAATCACCGCCGCCGGCTTCTTCCCCGCCATCCTACACAAATCAATCGCCGCCTCGGTATGTCCTCTGCGCTGCCTAACACCGCCCGGCCTAGCTCTAAGCGGGAAAACGTGACCTGGTCTTCTTAAGTCCTCCGGCTTAGTCTTCTCATCAGCCAACACGCGGCACACAAGCGCGCGATCATGGGCGCTGATGCCCGTGGTCACGGACGGGTCGGCGGCGTCGACGCTGATGGTGTAGGCCGTCGCGCGCGGGTCTTCGTTGTGACCGACCATTTGCGGCAGCTCCAGGTCTAGGGTGCGCTGCGGAAGGATGGGCGCGCAGATTAGACCGGACGAGTAGCGCACCATGAAGGCCATTTGTTGGGCGGTGACGGACTCGGCGGCGATGATCAGGTCGGCTTCGTTCTCGCGGTTGGGGTCGTCGAGGACTACGACGAATTCGCCGTTGCCTGTGGTAATAAGGGTTAGTGAGGAGTAGAGTGGGAGGGGGGGACCGGGGTGAGGCTGGGGAGAAGAGGGACGTACGGAAAGCCTCGACGGTGTCGGGGATGCTGTCAAATACTGACGAGTCCATTCGGGATTCTTGTTGGGAGGCCATTGTGTTTGAATGTGTTTGTGTGTGTGGTGTAGAGAGTATGAGCAACCGGTCGGCTTGGGCCACTTGGTGATATTGCGCCCTGGTGTTGGTGTTGGTTGGGGATATGACGTGAAGGCGCAAGGTGCAATGCGGTTTCGGCGGATGACTGTTAGCTGCAAGGTACCAATTGCTTGTTTCGATATCGGGGTATCTTTGAAGTTTCGTGTAAAGAAATGGTTGAATATTGTCTCGTCGGTTGGTCTCTTCAACTTTTTTCTCTAATCATATGCAACCTCAAGGGACCAATACTTGGAGAAGAGGGGGGGGGGGCGAAGTTGGATGGCAATTGGGCAATGGCTGGCTTCTCTAGTCATTCATTCAGTGAGGGGCAATTGGCCGGCGATTGCGACTTATTTAGGGCGGTCGCTCACGCTGCGGTCGGGCGGTCTCGGTTCAAGGTGGCCTCTCTGGGTGGGTTTCAGTTGTCAATGTGGATTTTGGCTCGGTACAGGGCCCCAAATGTTGCTGGTGAGGGGGGATGCCGTTTGCCGCACTCGGTATTCTAGAGCTTCGGAGGTTTGAGGGTAAGCGGAGCAGTCGCCGGGAAGATGCCGAGGCCACGGGAAGAGCACGGCTTGTCGAGATATTGTGAGAGTTGACTAGAATTAGATTGAAGAGGGCAGTCAAAAACAAGTAAATGCTACATCACGTCCATTTTAAGTTTATACAACCCGGATCAGTCGGATTTCTCCAGGCTTAGAAAAGCTGACCGGCGGCTTACAAACCTCCTTGTCAACTTTCAACTGAAAACTGTCCGGTCCGTCGGCCAAGGATAGTTACAGGAAGAAGCAATGCCATAGAGTATGGGCTGATGCATGCGGGAAACTCAGAGATACTCGGAGCTGTGAACATCAAAGGAAGTCGAGATCCATCCCGAGAACCTCAATGGACCTGCGGACCAAAGGGCAAGAACCAACGGCGGTCCCTGCAGCGGCAAGAGACATGTTCGACAAGGAAGTTGGTTGAATCGGGGAAATAAGTCTTATCAGCTTATCGATAATGGTGGTCTTATCGCCCAATGCGATGGATGCTCTGAGTGATCCCTGTTGACGATCGGTCATCCAGGTGCCGACTTGCGACCAATTGCGGGAGCTTGTCCCACCCAAACATTTACATCACCAGCTTGAGAGCTTAAACTTGTTGATACTGAAGCTCCCTCGAATTAAGGAAGAGCTTCATAGCACATCAAGATGCTGCCATCATTACCACTCCGCCAATTGGCGCCAGCAATCGCCCGGCGCGTCCGGAACCCAAAGACAATTGCACGCCTAGCATCAACACCACAGCAGTGCTCTGCGCCCGTCACAACAGCATCACCATCAGCAACAACACAACGATGGCACTCCAACCATAGCCCCGCCTCCTCCGGCCCTTCCTCCTCCTCCGTAAACCCCGACGAAATCTCCCACTTCAACGCCCTCGCCGCCACCTGGTGGGACCCCCCACGGCTCCTCGCGCGCCCTCCACCTCATGAACCCTCTACGACACGACTTCATCCAGACCTGCCGTTCCTCCTCCCCTTACTCCTCCTTTACCGTCCTAACCGAGGACTCCTCCGACATCCTCCCTCCCACTTCCGACGCCGCACATAACACCACACACAACACCTTCAACGTGCAAAAACTGCGCTACCTCGACATCGGCTGCGGCGGCGGCATCTTCGCCGAGTCCGCCGCCCGCCTGCCCACTACATCTTCGGTCCTCGCCATCGACCCCTCCCCAGGCGTGCTAGCCATCGCCCGCTCCCACGCCAAGAAAGATCCGAGCTTGTCGCCCAAGCTGACCTACCTCTCCTCGACCATCGAGTCCCTCCCAACACTCAAGCCCGAAGCGGTGCAAAAGAAATTCGACGTGGTCTCTTGCTTCGAAGTAATCGAGCACGTCGATCATCCTGCTCTGTTCCTCGACCACGTGGCGCAGTTCGTGAAACCCGGAGGGTGGTTGGTCATGAGCACGATCGCAAGGACCTGGACAAGTTGGTTTACGACGAATTTCATGGCCGAGGATGTGTTGGGGATTGTGCCCAAGGGGACGCATGATTGGCACAAGTATATCAATGAGTATGAGCTGAGAGGCTACTTTGAGGAGACGGAGGAGAAGAGGAGGTTTTGGGGACGACCGAGGGCCATGGGTGTGGTTTATGTGCCGGGTTTGGGGTGGAAGGAGGTGCCAGGGAGCGAGAAGGTGGGCAACTACTTTTTGGGGGTACAAAGGTTGGCTGGTGAGGATGCTTGAACAAGAATTTGAGACCAGGGGTAATAATGCTGTACGTTTATGTTGTGTTTGAATATGTATATGACACGGGATTGTACATCTGAATGGGTTGGCTATTTGGGGTATGATATGAATAGATGGATACGATGGTCAACCCAACCTAACAACCCTCCACAACCTCAAACACTCCTGCAAATCCATCGACAACGTCCCCCCCTCAAGGCCAACATCTACCATCGATGCTCCCTTGATGAGCGCCACCAACACCGCCGCATACGCAAACGCAAATAACTGAACCCGACCATCCTCCGCATTATCACCTTGCAACGCCTCCATATCCGACCTTCGCATCCCGCCATTATCCGCCCACGCCTTCCATAAGCTGAGCTTTGCGAACACGGCCGAGGCAAACTGGACGTCTAGTACCGTCTTGTGCAAAATCATCCCCGCAACGTCCTTAAGGCCTTGGGATTGATCCACGGGGATGGACTTGAACGCTGATCTACCGTTGTTACTCTTGAGCCAGACAAGAAAATACTCAGCTACTAGGTCAGCAGACCATTTTGGGGACTGGAACGCTTCCATTAGTCGAGTCTCTTTACGTTGGGTTTCGAGACGGAATTTTTCGCGCACTGTTTTGTTTCCACGTCAGTTAGCTACCCATCCAGCATCGCAGCGTCACAGTTTCTCAAGTAACAAGGAGTTCACAAAAAAAATAAAAGAAAACTCACTATCATCCACCCGCTCCCGCCCCTCCCTCGCCAACCTCTCCCTAACCTTCTTATCCTTCTCCGGCCCCGCAGGCATTTTCTGTTCTTGCATCATCGCCTCCCTCTGCTCCCTCGTTCGGCGAGCAAACTGCTCCAGATTTTTCACCACATCCAGATCATCATGATGCTTGGTGCTGGACCAATCGGGCGTAACCGACTCATCGACTACACCCAGCAAAACCAAAACACCGCAGGGGACGGTTTCGCGCCGGCAAAAAGAGAGGATGGAGTCTGGGATGCGATAGCTCCAGAGGATGGTTTGCGAGGTTGTGCCGAGGGCCGTGGAGGCTGAGGCGAACCAGGTGCCCGGGCTTTCTGATGAGGAGGAGGAGGACGGGGAAGATTGGGGTGGGTAGGAAGAGGAAAAAGAAGGGCGGATGCGGAGGTGGTCAATGGGGAGACCGTCGAGGTTGATGGTGCTTTGGATTTGGTCCTCGTGGGTTAGGGCGGTGGTAATTCCTTCGGAGGAGATTTGGCAGGTTATAGGTCCGTGACCATGAACATTGCTGTCCCTGAGTTCTGGTTTATGGTTGGAGCCAGCAGCAGAATCATCCTCGAGAGAAGGCTTCCGGTCGCTACCAGAAGTATCTTCCTCCGGTGATGAATCTGAATCTGGCGTCGGCGGCGCCGGCAAGTTAACCCAATAAGGCGGCAAATTCCTACAATCCCTCGTTGTCCACTCCTTTTTCCACCTAACCCTCAAACTCAAATGTCCATCGGCCCCCTCCAGCGACCCAATAGTCAACACCTTCTCTTTGTCAGTACCATCCGGCGAAAAAACATGCATCAGCGCATAATTAACCGGCGTCCAAAGCCCCGTCGCCCTCAACAGCCTCCACCCGCTCGCATCCGGCACCGCCCCCAAATCAAGTAAATACGCAACCAGCTCATCAAAGTTCACCTCAACCTGCGGCTGCCGTAGCTGATCCGCATACTCAACCCTCTGCGTATGCAAGCCAATGACATTAGTCCGCCAGTTAAACGTCGTCCAGCTTCCGCCCGGTATGCTCGACGGCGGGTGGGAGGGAAGAGTCCAGTATTCGTCTCTGTCAACGAACCGGTCCCACGGCTTTACCGCGTAGCGGGGCAGGTCGACTTCAATTACCCGGTTGATGATGTCGCTGCGCGTTAGGCCGGTTAGACGGCTGAGGCGGAGCATGCGCTTGATTTTGGAGCGGGCGGCGAGGGTTACCGCGGTGTTGTAGAGGATGGGCAGGACGCCCAAGACGGCGAGCGGGACGCCGATGTAGGTGATTATGTCTGTTGCTGAGGGGCCTAGGCCGGGGCCGGGATCGGGGCCGGAGGGGAAATCGGCTGGGCTGGATAGGATTAGGGAGGGCATCTTCTCCGCTCCGTACCTAGGTTGAAGATTTGGGTGGGACTGTTCGACTGTGGACTGTTGGGCGCTTGCGGCTTGGGAGGTATTTGGGAGGCTGTTTTGGGAAGTGAACTTGTCGAGCAGCACACTAAACACACATCAACATGCACGCCAGTGTGAGACACTCAATTTCTGGCCTTTTTTTCTCACTTCAGAAATCAGAAGAGACATCATGACAAGAGAGAGGTTGTTGCGCATCGCTTCGCTTTGTTTCTCCTCGCGCCATCCAGTCGCGTTCTCTCAATTCAGCCGCACGGCACGCTCAACGCCTGGCTTGGTAACAACCCTCCCAGGGGGGCCTGTTCCTTGCAGATGGTGGCGTTTCTTACCCGCCGATACCGCGGTGTCGGGAAATTCTTTTGCGAACTTGCGAGATATCATATATGCACCTGCACCTCGTGGTCAGAATTGCCGCTTGACAAGGACAAGAGATGCATATTGATCGATAGCTTCAGGAAATATTGAGGAGAAGAAGGAGTGCAATTCGGGTGGTTGGTGAGCCGGTTTTGTGCGTCTTGACCGTCCTTTTTGGGCCACTCGCCCGCGCAAGAGCTTGAACGCAACAGTTAGAATTGTTTACTCCAGACATCTTTGGGCGTGTCTGTCCCACGTCGATGCCGCAGGAGTGTTCTAACCCTGACCTGAAAGACAAATACCGATGCCGCATGTGTTTTTGTTTCCGATACATCAACCCATGCTGCCGACTGACTGATGACTGACTAACATGGTCAAAGCCAGTACCTTAATTTCCACCGAGCCTCATCGTATCGGATATGTCAAGTAAACACACAAAGACCTATCTTCTAGAAGCGCGGAATTAGAACACAGGAAAATATTTCAGGAGGAAGTGGCTGATGAGTGTCTGTCCAGGTCATTGTTGTTGACAGACGAGAGATAGAAAGAGGAAGGTTCGAGGTGGAGATGATCCAAAAGGAGAACCAACAGACAAAAGTGCACGGGCCATATCAAGCTAATTCATGCGTGTTTGTTTGTCTGGTCCAGTGGTCCCAACGGTCAGGGTCTATTCATGCACTCACTCTTATTCAGACCCAGATCTGGCAACGTTCGTGCAGTAGCGGCTCTGTGTAAGTGGCCGTTTGCGGGCCCCTATTCGCTGCGCAACTAAACCTCCAAGCTTGGGGATCTGTAGGCAGTGTTCATCTGGTTGCGATAGTTACAGTGCACCGGACTAAAGGGCCTTAATTTTCTTGCTTCCTTCCTTCCATTTGACCTTCATTGAGTGTAGGGTAGGTTCACTTGTGACGAAAGATCACAGACGAAGGAAGGTCTGGGCCATCTGATGGATGTGAACATTTCGGATAGCACGACTGCCTTGTGAACTTGGGGCTGTATCGAGATCGGATGAATTCTTATTCAGATGCCAGTGCCTATTCATGTTGACTGATGCTGAGTTTTGTATAAAGTGCATCGGGGCCGCCGCTCTAATCCATCATTTCCTCTTCTCATCATCCGGCTTCACTGCACCTGTCCTCTTTCCCAGATTCACGATCTTGAAAAGAAGCTTGGAAAACTCGCCATCTTTTAACTTGCTTCAGTCTATCCTCCACTCAGCATATGCAACGCTTGTCGCATCAATCCAAACACATCCGTCACCTCCGGTACATCCGCTACCGTCAACAACATGTGGTCGCCATTCAGCACCAAGAATGGCAACGGGGCCTCACCCTCATTGTCCCAACTGCTCACCCTGTCGACACTCGCCGCTCTCGCCCCCCTGAGTGAGGCACAGTTCCCGCCCTCTCAAACTGTCGGCCTGACGACGGTCACCTCGCCCTCCAATCCGAACATCAAGATCTCGTACAAAGAGCCTAAGGATGTCTGTACGACTACCTTCAGACGCCAGAAGCAGTACACCGGTTGGGTCACCGTCCCCGGCGAGTACCCAATCAACCTTTTCTTCTGGTTCGTCGGCGCCCGCGAGCCAACCTCTACTTTGACAATGATGCTCAACGGCGGTCCCGGCGCAAGCTCCATGTTCGGCCTCTTCGCCGAGAACGGCCCCTGCCAGGTCGTCGAAAAGAGCGCCAGCCGCTTGGAGACGGCGGCCAGACAATGGGGATGGGACCGAGCCTCCAACATGTTGTTCGTTGACCAGCCCAACCAAGTCGGGTTCTCCTACGACACTCCCACCAATGGCTCTCTGGACTTGACGACCGGCATGTCCTCGCCCAACATGCAACTGCCTGATGGGTTTCCTCCCAGCTTGTTCCTCAACGGCACCTTTTCCTCGAGTAACATCCAAAACACGGCCAACACCACTCAAAATGCCGCCATGGCGGTCTACCACCTGCTCCAGGGATTGGCGAGCGCCTTACCCGAGTACGTCCTGGACAAGAACAGCCCGTTGGGCATCAACCTCTTTACGGAAAGCTATGGTGGCCACTACGGGCCTGTCTTCGCCGACGTCTGGGTGAAGGAGAACGACAAGCTCAAGAAGCGCGCCATGCCTCTCTCGAAGCGCCAGAGCGCCCAGTCCCGCCCCTCCACTTCCACAAAGGGTCGCGAAATCAAGCTCACCTCCCTCGGCATCATGAACGGCTGCATCGATGACCTCGTCCAAGGCTCTCGCTACGTCGAGATGGCCGTCAACAACACGTACGGCATCAAGCTAATTGACCAAGCCACCGCCGATGCCATCACCGCGGGCTTCAACGCGCCCGAAACCGGCTGCAAAGACCTGATCCTGTCCTGCCGTCAAGCCCAAGCCGCGCTTGACCCGCTTGACACGGGAGCCGACAACACCGTTAACCAAGTGTGCCTTTACGCCTCGGTGACGTGCCAACAACTCCTTGGCTCCGTGCTCGCTTCGGGCGTCAACGCGTATGACATCGCGCACGTCGGCCCGGACGCCTTTCCCAATTACCATTACATCGAGTACCTCAACTCGCGGCGCGTGCAGGAAGCTATCGGGTCGGTAGTCAACTACACCGACGTGTCGCCCGTGATCTACCAAGCATTTTTCCAAACTGGCGATAGGGCTCGCGGCGGATTAATCGCCAAGCTCGCCGGGCTCCTCCAGCGCGGCGTGCGCGTTGGGCTGGTCTACGGCGACAGGGATTACATCTGCAACTGGATGGGCGGCGAAGCCGCTTCTCTCGCCATCGCAGACGCCATGAAAGATCTCGACCCCAAGTCGCCATACCCGACCAAGTTCGCGGCTGCGGGATACTCCCCCATCAACGTCAACGGCCGCGAGGCTGGTGCGGTCAGGCAGTTCGGCAACCTCAGCTTCAGCAGGATCTACCAGGCGGGCCATTACGTGCCGGCCTACCAGCCCGAGACTGCCTTCCGAGTGTTTGAGCGCATTATCTCTGGTACCGCTGTCAGTAATGGTGCTGGGGTGAACCTGAAAGAGTATGCGACGCAGGGGCCTAAGAAGTCCGAGAAGAAGCTTACACCGCCTAAGGAGGTCACGGCTAAGTGTTTCTTGAGGAACCTGGGGTCGACGTGCACGCAGGAACAGCTTGAGGCGATACTGCAGGGCCAGGGAGTGGTGGTTAATGGGGTTTGGTATAGGGAGATGAAGGAGTGGAAGCTGGTGACTGCTAGGAGCGAGGCGGTGGTCAAGAAGAGCCTGTTCGGTAGGGTTGCAGTGTAGGACTCGTGGGATCCTGTAGCGGAGGTGTTGAAAGTTCCTTTGGCGGCTTTCCTATCTCTTATCGAACGTGCTCTGAGGCGAGCGTTTGGTCTGGATGATGCGGATGATGCTGGACGATGACACTGGATGATGATGGATTTTTCCTTGGTATAGTTAATGAATATGAGTATCGATAACGATTACGAGTATACATTAAACTGCAGTCTTATGCGAATTTCAAGTTTCTTGATTCTTTCGGCGTTGGTGAATTCATGTAACTGATCCCCAGCAGGTAGACATCGTGTGGCCGAACGGATGGTGATAGTTATCGGAGACGTTCCGGCTCGGGATTTGTTCCTAGATGATTGAGTATTTGAGGTTCAACTCGAGTGCTCCTCGTGGAGATGGTGCTGCTCATGTAGAGTGTCTTTGTTTACATTCTCCTTTTGTGTTTGGGGTGATGGTGACGGGAAAGTGGGTTGTTGAAGTGCCATTGGGTAATAACCCCTTATGGCACCTCCACCCGGAGCTATCGTCATAGTCACATTACGTAACAATTTCAAGCCTGCCGTGGAAGTTGTGCCGCCGCTCCCCGCTTTCCGCATTGGCGGAACCCGAGCACTGAAGCGCAGCGCACTAGGGTTCCCGGTTCACGATTCACAGCCATTCGCATTTCCACTTCCCGGTCATTCTTCGACTTCATTGTACCCTCCGTCTCCTCCAGACCTCGACAACCACCACTACGGCCACAGTCTCCGATTTGATCGCGGATGATTTGGGCAAATAATACTCGATAATTATTCACCATCTCCCAAACATCAAGCTTCCAGAACACACAGTCTACCAGGCTACTACCCCTCCGCTCTCCCACAATACCGTCGTCGCACTTTGTCACCAGTCGATTGCGCAAAGCTGCGCTCGCCGCCACACACCATGTCGACGCAGCAGCAAGCCATAATCATGGACACCATTGTGTCCATAAGGAAGACACTGAAAAGGAAAGCTTATGGTAAGCTTAACTCGCCCTTCCCCGACATCATGGCCCTTCTCTTGTTCGCGTTTCCCATGACTAACCATGGCCACCATCCACCCTCGACAGAATCCGACTCCGACTCGTCAATCGACCACAACACGAACCGAGGCTACAAGCTCAAGAAACGCGCACGATTTGTCAAGCAAGGCCGTCTTGCCAACTCGAATGGACCAGCAGCCTACAAGGAGGTGTGTGAAACCCTACGACGCATGTGTACAAGGTGTCAGACTTTACGTTGGGGAACCAAGCAAGGAACAAATGAAGGGGACGCACCAAGACTGACTCTTCTGCTGAGTGCTACAAGGTCGTTGAACATGCGGGCTATCAGCGCGCCGTCATCAACCAGAACCTGCCCCTCATCGACGAGGACGGCTACGATATCGACAGTGACGATAACGAAGAGCGCGTCCAGGAAGCAATCAGCGCTACCATGGACGAGAACCCATACGCATCGATCCGGTTAGAACGTGAGCGGACACAATATGCGCTTGACGATCAACAATAGAGGTGCTGACACCAAGCTTCACAGAACTACTCGCACCCCTTACATCCGTCACCGACCTACCGAATCACCCGACCCTGTCGCGACCATTCAAATCGAAAGCCCTGACCGAACTCGTCAACCAGGCCAACGCCATTAGCCGAAGAGAGAATGTTGCCTTGTGGAAGGTCAAACCGTTGCTTACCAAATTCGTCGGCGACAACTCGTGGGCCCCGTGCGGCATGATGATTGAACCGACCGACCACGATCTCTTTGAGGATACCTCGAGCTTCATCAAATGGGTCAGCAATTGGATCCCGAATGCTGCTGATGCCGTGTCAGCTGGAAATAATACCAAGGCGATCGAGAACGGACCTGTCAACGACGACAACCACGAGGCATCGGCCTCGGAGCCTAAGGAGGCTGCCCAGACAAATGGCGACAGTGGGGATAAACCCGTTCCAGATTCAGTTGCCGACGATGATCACCTCCCTGATGCTGACGCACACCCAGACGAGAAGGAGGGAACCGAGGAGGACAGCGCGCCAAAGGTCAATGGCGAGAAGACGACAGACGAAGATGTTGAGATGACCGAATCTACAGAACCAGCCGAGTCAGCACCCACTGACACCAAGACGGAGGCCCCGCAACCCAACGGCGAGACAAGCAAGGAGCCTGAGCAAGCGCAAACAGAGACAGTAACAACGGAGATAACCACGCAAAGCGCAGACGAAACTACGAATGTAGATCAACCGGCACCGGCACCGGCACCAGTAGATGGACCGACAGAGCCAGCAACAACAGTATCTGAAGACATGGAAATGGCAAACGCGCCCAACGGTGAAGCTATCAAGGAGGCGGCGGAACATCAACCAGCAATCTCAGGTGCCGAGCCTGAGAAGAACCCAGAGCAAATGGAGCACAACCACGAGCAACAACAACCACACCAAGAAGCTCAAGAGGAGCAACACGTTCATGGTGCAGAGGACTTGCGAGCCAAGCCTAATGCTCAACGCAATGCTGCCCTCAGCGCCGTGGCGTCAGTAGCGGCACTCCAGGAATTTCTCGACGCACCATATATTCACCCCATCTTCCTCGCCCCACGAACCTCGCATCCCGACCGCGATTTCGGTCTCCCCGAGCAAGAAGCCGAAGACGTCCGCCGGTTGCTCCAGCTGTACGTGCAAAAGCAGGAAGAAGTCTGCCGCGGCACCCGCAAGCTGTACGAGGGTCTGCGCAAAGCAGACCGGTACCGACAAACGGTGCTCTCGTGGGCCAAGGCCGAAGCGCACAGCGGAGCCAACCGCGACATGTCGGACGGCGAAGACTGGTACGACAAGGAGGAGTGGGGTTTAACGGAAGAACTCAAGAAGGGAGAGGATGAGGTGGAGGAGGAGACGGCGGTGACGCAGAAGAAGACGAGGAACAGGAAGTAAGCAAAAACCACAAAACTGCGAACCTCCCCCTCGTTGACTTTTCTGGCTTTTTTTCTGGCTTTTTGCTGTATCCCCTTTCGTCGTATTCCCCCCTGTTGCTACTGCGTATAACCTTTTTTTGTTTCTTTGACTTGTTGACTGTATATACTGCAGGCGGTCCTGAACGGACTTTTTCATCATGATGTATGTCTGGCGTACTGATTGGCCGGATGGTTGTCTGGGTGGTTATCTTGTGGCTTAGGAGAAAACGGCGCTATGGGTTATGGGTATGCCGGGTCGGATCTGGGAGTTTGGGCGCAACTGGCGAAGAGGAATGGGCAGTGGACTCTTATAGAGTAAGTATCTGAGCAATGCGCTACTCGGAGAGCTGCGGACAAGCGATGCAGAAGGTATATCGACCAGCTTTGGACTGTTGGCATGGAAGGTCTTTGAGACGATAGTCAGATAGCTTCAATTCATTGGCGATCTCATTTCATTCAAGGTTCACGACTCGCACCAGTGGCGACGTCAACGTTTGTATCAGATGGCACTTTGACAGTTTGACAGGTTCCGTTGACAAATAGCGTGCGTGGACGGCGTGGCCCGAGCATGGCGTGGCATAGCATTTGAGCTTATAACGACACCGAAGAAGAGCCCAGATGAAAGGCAGAAGTCGAAGTCAAAGTCGGAAGTCGGGACGAACAGGATGCCGATAATAGAAAGGTGGGTGACCCCGCCCGTAGTGGAGGTGGGGCTTCGCATCGGATATTGAGCATATCCATTGATTGGTTTAGACAGAAAGAAAGATTTAAAGATCAGACGGTTGCGGCTCCGATCGCAACTGACAAGCGATGAAAGCGTCCATCGCGACCAAACTGAGTTTGAGGAGATGGGGCTGCAATTTTACTTTGGGTGGAAGGTTAGGCTGTGATTACGTGTTTGTCGGTCGGTCGCTTAAAGGTAGAATACTGTTGAGAGGGCGAATTGGTTACCGTTGTAGGAAAACATAAAAGAACGATGAATATTGAAGACGATCTTTTAAGGGCAAGTTCAGGTGAAACCGTTACGTTACTGCTGTCGGGTCTGTGCCCTCAGAGCCATGCCATGTGTACAACCTCGGAGACGACTTGAGAGTGAAACAACAGACGTTATCACGAGATCAATCAGGTCTTCTTTTCAGTCCTCTTCGACAGCAATCCAACCCATATTGATGTTCTCGTTGTTCCATTCATTCATGGGCACGATTCACCCAAAAAGCTTGTCCAGCTTCCATTGTCACACGCCCGGCGGCGCCTCCAACATGCATGGCGACAGGGGACGCTAACCCTTAAACAGCCTAAGCTAAACGCCGCCCCAGATTGCTTGAATTGCGAAAGAAAAGGAGTGAAGTCCGCTCGGGTTGTGGGCGAGGACTTTCAGAGGAGGGCCTGGAAGCAAGCGGGAACGGGATCCATCACTGGCGATTGGATCCTCAGTTTGTCTGTCACTCGCATGGACGGCATGGTTTGGTGGTTGCGGGAAACATGGTCCATGGATGATGGATGGACGGAGCCGAATCCGAACGGAGGGGATCCAATGCAAGGAATTTAAGATTGGGGAAAGAAGAAAAAGTGAAGAATTTGAACGGAACACACTGCAAACTGAAAGCTGGACGGTGGAATAAAGAAAAGGGATTGATCGTCCCTTTTTTTTTTTTTTTCGTTCGCAAGGGCCCTGCTGGCTGCTGCACGGAACCAAGGTTTGCATATACCGATTCTCGACTCTCGTATGTCTCCGAGCTGGTGGTCCAAACGAAACTCGTGTTAAACACTCGAGACTCGAGAGAATATCCTCACCTTACATCATCTCATATCTTCGTCACTCATCACACCCGTCACCCATTTATCTTCCTTCGACTGGTCGCTTTCATCCTTATAACTCTACAACTACAACTACCGATCGACCGACCTCGGAAAAGCTCACAGAATCTGAGACGGGTAGAGCTGCAGACGTACGCCTACATACATACACTTCCGTCAACCGCTCAGCACAGCACCGCATCGGCAGTCAGACTCGGCGCGGATTCTTGCATAACGACATCCGGGGAAGAGAAGGAGTATGAGGGAGTGAACATAACAAGAAGACTTTTCAGAGAAAAGGACGATTGTTTTCGCGTCTTGAACCGTCAAAGTCCCAGGTTTACCGCCAGTCCTGGTTCTCGTCAACGACTTCTAGTTTATCTCAACACCAACACTCCCTCCCTCCTTTAGAGGGTGGGTTAACCGACGACAACAACACCAGCCTCACACTCACTCTCCTTTCTATCAACGACCGCCACAGCACAAACAAAACCATGGCTGCCGACCTCAAGAAATCCGGCGGGCACCCCCACCCCAACCCAGTAACAATCACCATAGAGGTAGCCGAAGCCGCCGGCGCAGCCACAAACACAACCACCGAATCCGTCGCCGGTCCCGCCGCCCCAGTCCCGGCCACCTCTTCCGATCCCACAACAGACCCAACCAAATCCTCATCCAGCAGCACCTCAGCCCCCGACGAACAAGTCTACCCCAAGGGCCTCAAACTAGTCCTCATCATCGCCTCCCTCTGCCTGGCCGTTTTCCTGGTAGCTCTCGACCAAACCATCATCGCGCCTGCTCTGGGCGCCATCACGCAAGAATATGGCACAGTGAAAGACATAGGCTGGTACGGCGCCGCCTATCTTTTGTCAACAACATGTCTACAGCCGACCTACGGCAACTTGTACAGGATGTTCTCCGTCAAATTCGTCTACCTGTGCGCTATCTTCCTCTTCGAGATCGGTTCCCTCGTCTGCGCCGTCGCGCCTACCAGTACCGCGTTCATCGTGGGAAGAGCAGTAGCAGGCATGGGCACCGCAGGCATGTTTTCCGGCGGCGTGGTTATTTTATCCTACACCTTGCCATTGCGGATCCGGCCGATGGCCTTCGGTCTAATTGGTGCCATGTGGGGCATCGCCTCCGTCGCCGGCCCGCTGCTGGGCGGCGCGTTCACAGACAGCAAAGCCACCTGGCGATGGTGCTTTTACGTCAACTTGCCGATTGGCGGGGTGGCCATGATTGCGATTTTTGTGTTCTTGCACATCAACCGGGAGGATAACCCCATGGGACTGACGGTGCTGGAACGGGTGAAGAAGCTGGACTTGGTGGGCACGGCGGTGCTGATTCCTGCGATTATCATGTTGCTGCTGGCGCTGCAATGGGGAGGGGCTGAGTATGCTTGGGGGAATTCGCGGATTATTGGATTGTTTGTGGGCGCGGGAGTGATGGGACTGATGTTTGTGGGGATCCAGAAGTGGAAGGGCGATCGGGGCACGATTCCGCCGCGGTTGTACAGGAATCGGAATGTGGTTTGTGCCATGTTTTTTGCCTTCTTTTTTGGGGCGGGGTTTTTTAGTTTGGTTTATTATTTGTGTAAGTTTCCCGCCTGTCCTTGGACCGATCGGGTTGTTTGAATTGAATGAGAGACAGAAAGCTAACAGACGAAACAGCCCTCTACTTCCAAGCCATCAAAGGCGACAGCGCCGTCAAAGCCGGCATTAAGCTGCTGCCCATGCTCATCTCCGTGGTCATCACCTCCGTCACCACCGGCGGCCTCATCACCGTTGTGGGGTACTACAACCCCTTTATCCTGCCGTGCATGGTCCTCTTCAGCGTCGGTGCGGGCATGATCACCACCCTCGGCATCAACAGCCCCTTGCGCGAATGGTTCGGCTACCAAGTCATTGCCGGCCTTGGCATCGGCGTCGGTTTCCAGACCGGCGTGCTCGTCGTCCAAAATACCGTTTCTCTCGAATGGATCCCCATCGCCACCGCCTGCGTGCAGTTCCACCAGTCCATCGGCGGCGCCATCTTCATCGCTGTTGCGCAGTCCGTCTTCCAGAACGGCTTGTCGGCGGGTGTCAAGCGGAACGCACCCGGTATCCCGCCGGAGATCTTCATTAATAGCGGCGCTTCGCAGGTGAGACCGATCTTGACGCAGATGGGCCGCGAAGACCTGATTGAGCCTGTCCTCGAGGCGTATTTGGAGGGACTGAGACACAGTTATTACATCACGGTGGCGTGCGCATGTTGTGCGTTTGTGGTGGCTTGCGGGTTGGACTGGAAGAAGATTCAGAGGAAGAGGGGAGGCAAGAAGGAGGGTGATGGTAATAACGAGGAAGCGGGGGAGCAGAAGGTGTTGGCTGATGAGGAAGCTGGAGGAGTGGAGAACAAGCCGACAACGGCTGTGAGTGCGAATGCGAGTGAGGAGGTGAAGCCTGGAGGTGTTGAAGAAGGAGAAGGTTTGAAGGTTTTGAACGGATGATACCCAGATGATTTTGCTGTATAAAGAGCGTATTATGTACAAATGTATAATGTCTTTTAGGGCGATGAAATACGCCGGCTTGGATAAAATCACATGGCGCTTGTCGTTGTGCGTGTGTTGTGTATGAGATACTTGGTTATCATGAGATCTGGACAACGTGACATGTTTCTCGTGGGTACTGGGCAAACCACGTATGAGACATCCCAGTTTGACACTTTGTCGTATCTTACATGGTGTTCGAACGATGAAGCGAAAAGTTCTTGTTCGGCAAGAGTCCTCACGCAAATCATTCTTCGTGATGCCCAGTGTTTTGAGTAATCACCTCACCTGGTGGTGATCGTCCGAGAGTCACTCTCGCACATATCAAAACGTGATTCCTCCACCATGCACAAAAGCCATGTAGAATGAAGAGTTGATTATTGGATTGGGCATATATACTATTGAAGAACGATTAAGGGACTGGATGGAGTGTTCTATACAAGATCGAAGGCCAAAAAGAAACAAACCAACAAACAAGAGTCACTGCGCAGTCCGGGAGTCGAACCCGGGTCACTCGTTATTCTGTGCTCGCCGCACGTGTGTGGGAAACGAGAGTACTGACCGCTATACTAACCGCGCCTTCGTTCTCTGGTTTTGGTTGTTGATGATCTGTCAAACAGGTTCTATGATAAAGGGCAAAAAAGAAGACGGTTTCGGGAAGGTGCGCTAAGGCAGGCGGTTGTTTGCTGTTTGAACTGTTAACTGTGGGTTGCCGTTGGGGAAGGAAAGATCTCCCGTCATGCCAGGGCAGACACTTGACGGTCAATAGGAAAGGAGCCGCCATGAACGGGACGAAATGCGGGCAGGCAGACAGGTAGGTGGACGAAAGGAAACTACGAACAGGAAGGATCTGTTATGCTCGTTGCCCTGAACCTCTAGAGTCTGGGAGGAAGGCGCAACCTTCGGTAACCGGAGCCAAGCAACCTCATGAGACGGACATTTACGGGTAGAAACCCAAGCCGTACTCCCCGATGGAATGATTCATGAAACCAAAGGCGTGGCTGGTTTGGACTGTTGAGAGAAAGGTCAAGGGCATATTTGATTTTCAAATCGTTCGTGTTGAAACTCGTTTTCTTCTACCTGAGTGTTTCACTGAATATCTGCGCCGGCCTCAAATATTCCGTACGTCCTCAATTGCAACACCGGACAGAGACGGCCGTGGTGACTTCCAAAACAAACCAAACGCTTAATAAGTATCTAACGGATTATATTCTTACTAGTCCCGAGTCTCGCTCGACACATGGGAAGTTTCTTGTGAATTTTCTTGTGATCGTTCTTCTGCCCGGATAAATCTTTCTTCTTTCCACAGTTTGCACTGTCTATTCTAGGTAGTGGAAAGATCCTGAAATACGAACGAATGAAAGGGTTTATGCTACTTAGACCCAAGGGGTTTGTCTACCGTCGGACATTGACCACCTACCTACTACCTATAAGTGACAGCACGTTCGATGTACTTCTTGCCGATCATAGCTTTTGGTGTGGCCTCTCATAGGCAATAGTGTCATAGTGTCATACCGGGCAATTATTTAGAATAACTACCTAGCTTGGTGTTAATACATGCAGGGTAGGAGTAGGAGGCACCGAGCCTGATAATACATTGAACTTGAATGAATAGGGGAGTCCTCACCTCAGGTATTAATTCACCAACACTCCACTGAACAGGGAAAGAAATATCTGCAATGAATGTACTTAACACTTGAAAAGTACCTACCTACCAACCCGACAAGCTCAATGATTACAAGACATACCTTGTACATATTTCTGGTTGTAGGTCAGGAAGTTATTTACACCAGCCTCGTGTTACACATCTTCAGTGCAGTGTATAAGGTAGGATCATGATACCATGTCTCTTCTAGGAAGACCTCGCTTAAGCGAGCCCAACGCGACGCGAGTAAGTACCTACCGGTGACCAGTGGCCGGTCAAGCTGGTTGGTGTAGGCAATGACGAGTCTCTAAACGAGTAAGCCAAGAGCCCAAGACAGGCAGCTGAAATCTCAAGTCTTGGGGTTTATACTTTGTGATCCTTGGACCTTGATTCCATATTTTATGTTTTTCTTCCTTCCTTGGCCGGATGGCTGTGTTGTGTTGGCTGGGCACGACAAGTGGCAGCTAAGAGGATTTCGCTGCTGAACATCATTCGAAGCAACTAAATGATATTTGTAGTTTTTTTCTTCTTCAAAGACCCACGTATGCGTATTGCAATCTCTTGTTTTGGTAACGATGTCCGCCGAGTAAAAATTCAGGGCACTCTCATTGAAAACTTCATTCCTTCCACTCAGAGTCAGAAGAGAAGAGGTTTGAAAAAGAAAAAAACGCATATCGAGCTCTCGACTTCCTGATCACTCCCAACACGATGATTGAAGTGCTGTAGGTATAATTGGACGACAAGATGAGGCCGTATTGCGCCTTCAACAGAACCGTATCTTGGTATCATGAAAGATAACCAGGGAAATGATCGTTGATCATCAAGCAGGATCGATCTCACATGATGGATGTCCGATGGGCGGTACCGGAAAAAGCAAAACCAAGGACCGGACCTTGTAAGTGCCTCATCGATGGTCAGTCCTAACGATGGGGAGGAGGCCGCCGATCATACGACGGAAAACATCATGCGTGTGTGGTGAAGTCACTTTTTTCTCGAATCCGTAGAGCGTAGAGCATCCTCAATCAGTGTTTGTACATATCTGGCGGGGGTCAGTCTAAGTTGGGGGGTCTTTATGTAGTGTATGTCCGTAATAGGCAATGGGGGCCGATGGGAAGAGTGGGGGTACGATTCACGTAACCGTTGTGGCGATCGTTCCCTCACAATCATTTTCGTTATTGTTGTTGTCGTTGTCGTCTCCGTGGGGCATTTTACATACCTCGGTCGTATTCCCGTGGGACCACCAAGGCTTTATTAGCCAAGACATCCTTCATCCCGAAATTTGAAGGTGTGTTTACCCCAGGCATAACGTGTCATGTGCAAACGGGAATGTCGCGGCTCACGTACGAGATGGTTTGTGCTTAGCAGAACGTAACACTGCGGCAGTTCAAACTGGGATGGGGGGAACTTGGAGGGGGAATGGGGGAAAGGGACCCCATCAACGATATGAATCGGGGAAAATGGAGTCCGTTGCTGTGAGGGGAAACGGAATCGGTGGATAAAGGTTACAGTACAGAGGTAGAAAATAGATTAGTCAGGGGTTCATGCGCTGGGAAGCCCACGAGGTGTGCACGTCAGGTACCTACACTACATGAAATCCGAAAGTGAGGGGATAAATGTAGTACTATCCATTATCCAAGGCACAGCCCCCCTCCAAACTTCGAGTAGGAATGTATTTTGAGAACGACACTCGTCGAAACCGGCATGGAAACCCCGAAATATGGTCAAGCTATCCCTACCCGCGGAAATGCCCCAATGAGCTGTTCAAAAGCAAGGCGAGCGGGAGTGGGAAAAGTAACAGAAACGACGAAGAAGTTACCATATTAGTCAATGATGGTGATGGAGCTGGAGAGGGGTAACAACCAACGCTGGATTGATGGAACTTCAGCCCCTCTCCACGCTTCACGCACTCACCTCAACTTCCCGCGTTTTCTCCTGGCCAGCTTTCAATTACATCCCTACCTCTTTTACCCCTCAACGCGCCTATCATCCCTGCCGAGGCCGTCTTATGCGTACGATGACAGAAAATTGTCCCAATCGTCGTTAGCTTCCGCCGGATGGTCTCGGGCACGGGACGTCTCCGGGTACTGTCTCTGTACTGTACTGTGTAAGTCGTTAGGGCTGTTGGATGTATCCGGACTACACTCCAAGGCCCCAAGGTATCATTTCCCGACTCTTGTAGGCTTCGGAGTGGGTCGTTTTGTTGGCCAGTTTTGCGCGCCTCGTGATGTCTTTGTGCATAGTATTTGCAGAATCAGATATGGCGATGGTTGCTAGTTGAAGTGGATCGAAACGTTGGGGCATCCTTGATCAAGTAATTGATGCCATGGCCTACAATTGGTCTGGAATCTGCAAGGAACCTTGTCGCCGTCTGTGTTGGCTGTGATCCTGCGTGGGATCTCAAGGGTCGAATATCTTGTGGTAAGTATAGCAAACCGTGTTAAAGGCGTAGGGGAAGTACAGCGCGTACTGTATCCTGGAAGCGTATCTCGTTCCAAACATCATCTCAACCCCACGGAGTGGTTAACCGTAGCAGTAGAGATACGAACAACAAGCGACGAAGATGTTTGATCGTGGAGAAAATGAGCGGCTCCGTCCGGCCATGGCCTTTATCGACGTGCACACTATTCACTCACTCCCAAGTGCGGCGAGTCTGACGTGCAGCAACAACCGAGTCCTTGGCTCAGACTCGAAAGGGTTGATCGAATTGACCAACATGACAGAGGTACACAAATGGAGGGGCTTCCTTGGTGCACTCGATTGGTCGACCTTTCCGTCAGATGACCGAAATATGCAAGTCGCTGGAATGGTGTGAGGTAGTTGGTGCAGCGTGCCATACTCTTAGATGGCGAGATACTGTTTGAAATCTTACCTGCTACTTGATTTCCGTCTTGCTGACTACTGCCATATTTATGGTGTCATGGTGTCATGGTGGCATAGTATAGGTCTGATCGAGTGATGATTTTGGATGTGTAAAAGCCGGCTTGAGATGAAGCGTATGCTGCTCAGCAGTCTGGACCATGTCATCAGCATTTCAGACACCGTATTGGTGGCTTCAATTTATAGGTAGCCGCGCCTACACTCAGAATATCCTTCATCGATCAACCATCAGGTGGCGCCAAACCAGATGATTGCATTATACATGGCGAGTCCAGCAAGTCAAACCACAGCGGCTGTTGCCGACGCTAGAGGAAGTGTGGTAGAGTGCTGCCCAGCGAGTGTCGGACCCGTTGGTACGGATGCAATTATGGTTGGTGTAACAGTTTGAGCCTCCTACATGGGGTCCGGTCGATACCACTTGATTGGATTGTGGGTTTGT